TCTAAAAAAAAAAGTATAAGATATGTACAGCTGTATATGCTGGTACTCCAGTACAGTAATTTTTTAATATTACTGTCCCTTTTTATGGTGGCCATAGAAAGTGGATTTTGATGGAAAATGTCTTAGCTTGTTGGGGAGGTCACTTGCCCGGGGTGGTATAAATCCCAGAATTGTGGCTGGTAAATCATGGCCTTATGGACATATTGATGGGGCCTTAATCTCTCAATATTATTAAAATTGCTGGAAGAGATCCTTCTTTGATGGTAGTGATGAAGAACATCTAGAAAGTGGGATGGTTAATTAGTGAGGACCTTCTCAGTTTCTGATGTCCTTGTTGTGGAGCTCCCTGATTTTGGAGATGCATCAGTAGTTCAGTTTTATAAATTGCATTAGGAACACCTAATTAACTGTGCTCTTCAGTTTTTCCTGATGCATTTGATGTTGACCAATGTAGAAGGTTTTTCTCTCTTCTTGACTTTCATATTTTATTCTAATATTAAGTGACTATGATCCCTGAGAGAAGAGCAGTATACAAATGTAAATAACAAGGGGACAAAGGTTTCAGCTTGGAGGGAGGACATTTCTCAGAGTTCCCCCTCCACCCTCCATGACCACTGCTTTAGCAGATGCACTTTTCTTGTCATATGAGCAGGCTGGCTGTGTCCACTTCCCTCACACAACACCTTGTGAGGTGCGAGTGTTGATGCTGCTCTACTCCTCCAAGAAGAAAATTTTCATGGGGCTCATTCCTTATGACCAGAGTGGTTTTGTCAATGGGATCCGCCAAGTCATCACTAACCACAAGCAAGTTCAGCAGCAAAAGGTCAGTGCTGACCCTCTTGGTCTTGCTCTTTCCCCTCAATTGTGTTTTCAAGCTTTTCAGCAGACTGTGAGTTGGTTGAAATCTTGAGCTATCTCAAGTGTGTTCCCTAAATACCCCCTGTTTCCCAAAATTGTAGGCCTCCTTGTACTTTTAGTTGGCATATTTTGTGTCTAATTTGTTTGCAAACTGGAGGATAAGACCCATTGATGTTCAGCCATTCTGTATCAAATTCCTGCCTTGGAATTGTTTGTTATGATGAAAAAAACAGGAGAGAATGTTTATAAATGAAAAATTACATCTGAGTGTATTGTAAATAGCCCCAAATCTCACTTAATGCATTTCTTATAGTATTTTTTGGCTTGCTAATAAACTGGAGCTATGCAGTGGACCATTTCTAAGCACAACTGCACCCTTAGCTTTAATTCCTGAACCAACGTTTTTGCATTTTGTTGTACATTTGTGCATCTGTATGGGAGAATGTTCTTCAAAATATTTTGGACTCCATAAACATTTAACACTGGAATTGTAATGCTAAGGAACGCCTACAAAGCCACAGTTGGCTCTAGGAAGACTGTAATGTATTTCTTCTTCATCTCGCTTTATAGCAGATGGGGAGTTCTCAACCCCTGGGGTCCACACCCAACACACAGCCCTTCCTGGCAAAGCAGCCTGGCGCTTTGCCAGTCACACCAGGAGTCCAGCAGCAGGTAAGACGTTAGACATACCAAACTTTGCCTTAGTTGTTTTTGGGCAGCAGCCACCCAAGGCAGAAGAGAGCTACCTATCTCTTGGCAGCATGTCTGGGCTTAGCATTGCACTGCCTGTCTCCCTGCCTCACTGGCCAACCCCCTTGTTGGATTTGCCCCTCCCTTTATCTTTTTACAGATGGGTGGGCAACAGGTGAGCCCCGGTATGCCTCAGGTGGGGATCATGGAAGAACGGCAGCAGGGTTTGGTGAGTCCCTTGTGGAGGTAGGAGCTGCTGAATTTGTTCAAAGTGGATTCATCCCATCCTGGAATCATTATTTTCATGCAGCTCCACTTACTTGGCCCCATAGGATGGTATCTTAGACCTGGAAGGAAGAGGGAGGCTAGGCAGATTTATCTCTGTGTTAATTCAACAGTCTGATTTCATAACTGAGTGGTACGCAAGTTAAGACCTCAGGGCCTTGCACATAGCCGCCATTGCCCTGCCAAATCTTGCCAGCAAATTGTAAATTTAAGATGACAGATGGAAAGGATGTTGTTAAAAACACGGGGATGTTATTTAACTGTATTGAACGCATTAAATGTACTTTTCACTACACTGAAATTAGCAAGGCGGCCTTCAGCATGACAAGTCCCACACCACCCTGTCCTAAGAGAAAGCAGCATTTAGGTTGGAGTCACCCAACACTTGCCTGGCTTTTCATATACCAGCCTTCATTCTTTTCTGCAGTTAAGTGATGAAGAAGAACATGAATATGTTCCTATTATGGTTCATTTCCCCCCCGAATATTCTTTTGGCTTAAAAGGACTTTCCCTCATCTAGCTTGTCTTCATGCAGAGTCTCTTCATATCTTTGTGTCATTTGGTCGCTGCAGAAATCCTGCAGCTGCACACCACATAATGAGAGCAGCGAGTTCCTGTCAAGAAGGTCGCACTCTTTTTGAGAGCAGCTCCATGTTTTATTGATGGCTGTCTGCAATGCCTTTGCAAAGGTCTCTAGATTTATGGGAAAGATGTGAATTGCTGCATACTTTCTTGCGAGCCAGGAAATATTTCTTTTCCTCTTCCTAGTTGCAGCTCCGAGTGCAGCAATCGCAGCCAGCTGCCCCCCCCACCAGCCAACCTCCACAAGCACAGGGTCCCCCCCCGGCTGGGCCACAGGCCACCCAGGGAGGTGCCATGCTTAGGCCCCAAAACCCAGGAGCCAACCCTCAGCTCCGAAGCCTTCTCCTGAGCCAACAGCCGGTGAGTGCTATTTTTTCCTCCCCACCAAGGCCTCCCCCGTTCTTTTCTTCTGCTTCTTTTTAAAGTTAAAGGGGATGTTTGCTGAAAGGTTAGAGAAGAACACCTCTTGAAACGGCTTCATCCAGCACCACAGCTCCTTTGCTTCTAAGAGCAAAGGAAAGTGGCTGCATTGCTTAGCGTAGCTTTGCTGCTTATCTCTGGCACTTGTAATAGCCAGAAAAGGGTTATATGCTTCCTCCTCTCTGTCATATACAGCCCCAAGCTGGAGTCCCTCAATCCCAGCAGCCCCTTCACCACCTCCAGCAAGGGTCTTCAGGAATGATACCACACCAGCCCATGGGGCAGACTCTTGGGCATCAGCCTCCTGGGCAGCAGCAGCTCCAGCTCCCTGGACAGCCTCTCATGCACCAAGCTCCTGGGCAGCAGTGGCCAGCCCAGATGGCACCGCGCCCACAATTGCAAGGTATGGCGCGCTTGGTCTGGGTTGAAAGCAAAATCTGTTCCTCCCACCCCAGAAACAGCTGTGTCTGAGAGCTGGGGAAGGATTTTTGCTTTAAGGGAGAGGATCTATTTCTTTTATCAAGGTACATTAATCTGCAGAGGTGGGGGAAATAGGTTTGGGGGGAGCATATGTCATTACCTAGCTGTGCAGGTTTTTAACTGTAGAACATGGGCAACGGATGTGAAATACAGTAACATATAGTAAAGTAAGAGCTGTGATGGTGCCATCTCCTGATGCCCTGGCTACCTTAAATGGGATCCATTGATTAATGGAAACAATATCTTAGCTATTTCTGGGGATGGAAGGGAAATGAAGGCATAAACCTTCTAAAGGGCTTCCATTCTAAGGCAAGCATTTCCTGGAAATGCCGCAGGGGCTGTGAAATTAAGCAGGGGGCCATAGCTAATCCTGTAATCAGAGAGTCTTCACTGCAGTTCTAAAGCCTCTCTGTGTTGTACCTTCTCCCCCAGGTCAAATGCTAATGAATGCTGGACCCCGGGGGCCTGTTTCTCAGCCAGGCCTGCAGCAGGTTCCTGCCCCCAGCATCATGGAGGATGACATCCTCAGGGACCTCATCTGAGGACAGAGGAGGGCCCTGCTCCAGTGTCAGCCAGGGCTGAAATCATCTCTGTATACTGGGAAAATGCTTCCTTTCCTGAGAATACTCTTCCTTTCTCATTTGTAATATTTTTTGTTCCCCCTGTTAAGAAATATTATACTCTTGCAATTGTGAATTGGTCTTTCCTGAGGTTAATTCTGCTCCTCACTCCACTACTGCAATTTTAGGAATGTCACCCAGTTCTGCTGTGCTGTAGTCCATACTAAGAGCTCGGTCCAGCCCCCCAAGTTCCCCTGTGGGCTTTCACTGAATTTTGATATGGGGAGACAATTGAATGAGGAGAAAGGGAAATTAAAAGTGATCCTCCTGTGAGGTATGTTGTGAAGCTCTGGCCCAGGATCCCAGATCTCAAATAAGGAGCTTATATTTAGTGATCAAAAAGCTTTCAAAGGAGAAGGAGCCATTTTAAGAGTTGGACTTTCTTGGTGGACAAGGAGAAAAAAGGCTGGGGGGTGGGGTGTCTTTTCCTCAACTGCAGCTCCCATCCTCCCCAGCTGTTGGAAGTTCAGAAGCTTGGAACTCTGATTCAAATGTCTCATCCCTTCCTTATATTCCCCACCGCAATCTTTCTTCCATTTCACAGCTGCCCAAACTGAAGCAGCCTGTCTACATTGTATTCAATTTAGTTTTCCAAGTGCATCGTGGGTTGGCTTTGCTTTCTGAAACACAGGTTTCCTTAGTGCAGAAGTATAGATCTAAGAGCAGGATGCTACAATTCTCTTTAGAGCTTACACTGTTCTCGGAAACTGAGACAGGATAAGATTGTAATCAGGGTGGGTTCTTGTAATATATGTTCCTGTTAGAAGAAGGAAACAGGGATAGAGTGAGCATGAAAGGACTGGGATGCAAAATTTCAGGGTTCCATTGAGTAAAGCACCCCTGGAAGTATATGCACTGCTGTTGGCCTATGATGGCATTTATTAGTGGCCCTTCTTTATTAAGCAAGACGGTTTTGGTTGCTACAGGAGTCAGGGCCAGTGCTCTGAACAGTACAGTCACTGGAATCCATCTTACAGAGGTCACAGTGACAACTGAGAGCCACAGGGTAGGTGAAGGACGGGTCAACACCTGGTGGACAGCCTTGCAGAAGCACAGTCTCATAGCGTACTTCTTTGTAAGTGCAGACTCTTTGGCTGAAGGAGATGTAGGTAGTCTTCCACAACATTTCCTGTAAAAGACATAGAGAGTGGCTAGACATGACAGGCTTTATTTCCTACTCTTTGAGGGGGCAGCATCCAAAAAACGTCAGGAGCGCCATCCGTCTGCCTAGTGTTGGCCTAGTTTCTCTTACCACTTGAGTGTGTATGACTTGCTACTACTCCAGATGTGCTACTACTTGCAACCTCCAGAGGTCCCTTCTCATTGCTACCAAAGCTGGGGAGTGGGGTGGGATATTCACTGCCTTTGGTAGTGAATAGTAGGAAGAAGTAATGACAAACCGGACAGCAAAGTGGCTAAATAACAGCAAATAATGAAGAACTACAACTCTCCAAGTGGCATCTTCTGGCTGGGAAAACAAAGATGCACAGCCTCTGGGTAGAAAGGGTTTGCCTGTTCTTGGAGGATGGAAAGCAAAGCCTGCTTGGCTGTAGTACAGTTCCAATAAGCGTAACGTACATTTACAAGATTTTAGAATTCTCCCCAACAGTCATCAAAGGGGAAAAACAATAGGCTGAAAATCAGGGTCACACTCCCTTTCCTGGCAGCATTACCATATTGTTCTGCCCACTGTCGTCCTGGCTGCAGGAAACCAACAGTAGCAACCCCCATCTGGGGAAAAGTTGTGTAGCTGTGGCTGAATGCAGGTTTCCTTCAAGTCATTGCATTGTCTTAAGTCTTAAAAGGGTCCTGGATTGGGGGTAGCTTTCTCACTCAGGTGCCTTTCAGGCACATTAGCTCACACCGCACATCAACAAAAACCAACATGGCCATCTGTGCCAGCTTGGGACAATGATTGTTGTCCCAACGCTTCTTGAGGGTGTCTGGTTGGTGAAGCCTGAATTCTAGGATTCCTTTCTCATATACCTACCTTGGTCTCACAGTAACCACTACAGATGGTAGTGGTGATGGTCATGCAGACAGGGCAGTCATTCTTCTCAGCTGCAATGGTGGCATTGACAGGGCGGCAAGCTGGGCTGCTTCTGGCCAACCCACTTCGGCGAATAGTACAGTGAGTGACAGCCAGGAACAATAATGCTGCTAGCAACAGATTCTTTGCCTGGATGTAAAAGAGAGAAAATGAGAAAGAGGCACCACAGCTTCGGAGCGTAAGGCTGTAGCACGGGCTCTAAGGAATGTTGGTGCACCTATGACCAGGTATTGCTGGGCGGCGTGCAAGTTTAATAAATTATTACTATTGTTGGTCACACAGCCAGATGTTTAGACTGGATTTGGCATTTTTATCCACCCATCAAATCCTTCCCAAGTCTACCTACTTGATAGGTAGATGTTGTTGGATGGTGCTAAGGGTGTCGTCGCAGGATGTAAGCTGTTCCAAGTAAAGCTGCCTTTTGCAATTGACTGGTGAGGATTTTGTAAATGCAGATGGTGTTCAAGTGGTGCTCCAGATGTTTTGGAATTGCACCTAGGGTGACTATAACTATTGGTACCATCTTTGCTTTCTTTTGCCACAGTCATTCTATTTCTATTTGCAGGTCTT